TTGTGCCTGTCGACTTAGATTCCGGGCATTGGAGTCAGAGTTTCGTCTTGAAGCAGAACGCGTAAGGTGCGGTTGAGTGGTATTTCGATGAGGAGATGCTGTTGGGTGCTCGGCTTGTTGCCGCGTTTCATTCGACAAACGTTGATTCCGAGACACAGAGCGGGTCACATGAGGATTTGTTGATGGTGCGGGTGAATTAGTTTGAGTCAGAAGTCCAGCCACGGAACGTTGATTCCGACACGCAGAGCGGGTGATATGAGGATTCTCTGGCGATGGCTGTGACTGCTGGGGTTGCTGCTGAGACGTCAAGCGTGTAACTCGAGTATTCGGCGGTTGTCACTAAGTATTTTCAGGTGGACGCATGTGATATGCACTTATGATATGGCGAGGGCCGGTGCCGAAGGCTGAGCGCTCTCCTTCTGCGCGGAAGACCCGAGGTTGGAGGGACACCGTCTCTTGGGGTGCTGTCAGGAAAGAAGACCTATTCCGGTCGTGACGGTGGGTGAGTACTGCTCCCGTTAAGGGCAACAGGAGCAGTACTCACCCACCTTTACAAACGGAAGAGGTCCTCTTTCCTGATAGCACCCCAAGAGACGGTGTCTCTCCAACTTCGGTTAGACAGAGCTGGCAGGGGGCAGGAGAAGTCCCGCGCACGCTGAGCTGTCCTTGGAGTCCTTTTGGTCGCAGGGTGCAAAGGTGCCGTCGGTCGACTTGGGGACCTCTTTCAGGAGTCTGGGTTCGCAGGTCACGCTAGGGCAAGGCCAGAGAGGGTTGTCGGCCACGAACTTCGTGTGTTGGAGAAGGAATTGGACTTGACTTTCTTGGTCGGAGACCCACAGAACGTTGCTTCTCTGTAGCGCGAGTTGACCATTTAGGTGTATTTGGAATGATGTGGTCAAGGCGGAGAGGTGTCGCCCTCCGGACCAAAAAACAAACAAACAGGGAACATGTGACGCCGCCTTCCGAACGGGTAAATTTCACGGGAGGTGCGGGCACGCTTGAGACCTTGCGACGATGTCTGCAAAATGAGAAGGGAGCGCCGCTGCCAGCTAAGATTAGACGGTAGATGGCGAACAGATAGTGTGTGTGTGCTTCTAGACTACACCAGAAATAGCAGCGTTTGGCAGAAGGCCCGTGATACGGGAACACTTCCAGCTGTTGTACCATGTATATACAGCAGTGACGTGTGCCACTGATGCCAGTATATTCTAAAACTCGTCAAAGATTCTCCGCGTGTCGTAGGTGGAGATCCACTGAGACACGAGAATTTAACGACGGGAGAGCTAGACGTGTGGATGGACTCTGCAGTCCATAGCGAGTGCGATGGCACCGGCAGATTGGGCACAGCACGCTGTACCCTTTGTTTTTTGGAACATCGTTCGGGTGGACGAAATACCCGCGATGATTCGAAAACCACCATATCGTCGGAAGATTTAAAACCCTTGACTTCCTGTTAGTAGAGGTGATGTCACCTAAAATGGGCGCTGACGGGTTCACGTGAGCATAACTCGGCCTGCACGTCAAATCTCGAGGCCGCAGATGGCGCGGTGGGACCCAAATGTCCGGGAGAATAAAATGCAGAAGCAGAGTTCCGATTGTAGTATAGCCTTGTGCCACGAAGAAATGCACACATTTTCAAACTGTCCCTCGAAAGAAGCGAAACGGGCTGTCTTGACAATTTAACGGGGAAGCCGCCATTACCCAGCTTCGAGCGGCCGTAACTCGGCGTGCAGGACGATCGCAAACCAGGAGTTGGTGCGCTACGATAAGCTGAACTCAGAAGAGCACACAGCAGGTTCGATTTGCACTTTGAGTACTCGTGCGTTGAGCTGTCGCTGAATCTCCCAAAATGGGAAGATTCCAATACCGTGGAGGAGGGCTGTCTTGATAAATGAATCGTCACCGGGGACGCGATTTTCCAGCTTCCGGCGGCCGTAGCTCGGCGCGCTGTGCTCGCTGAACTCAGCAGGGCACACAGCAGCCTCGGTGTGTGTCTGAAGTGCTTGTGTGTCGAGCTGTAGGTGAATACTCGGTTGTGTAAAAAGCCTAATTCGGTACAGTGGGGGCTACGGTTAAAGAGAGCTCAGTTAAAGAGAAGTGCCGATTTAAGCGAGGTCAAAAATGCTATTAAACACATCCCTCTCTTAAACCGAACCTTCCCCCCCACTCCCCACCCTATAGAGCCCACCAGCTGCCCCCCACTGCAGCAGCTCAAGCGGCTGTGCAGCAGAAGGTCATCATAGCTAGCGAGACACAGCTCCCACGGATGCCTTGCGCCGCGGGTTCCCGCTGCCTGGCAACGCCGGAACACACACCCGGCCCCCGACTGTTTACGAACCACCCATGCCGTGTCTGCGGAGGCTACCTTCATGGGCTGTGCGGTGTGCATGACCCGCTTGGCGACAACGAGATGCACCGTGTTTGCCACGGATGTGTCAACTCGAGCAACCGCTAGGAATCAAGCACAGACTCGACTGCTGGGGCTGCATCTTCGAAGCGCCCCTGCCCGGACGGGCGGGCAACGGGGAAGGAGAAGCGAGCGGGTGCACTGGGCAGCTTGAACCCGTTGGCAACACCGCACGTAGGAAAGTTCGTGGCGCCGAAAACCGCAAACGACCGACGCTCGAAGACAAGGTTCGGGCGCTCGACCTTTTGAAGAGCATGGGCGGCGTAGCAATCGCGAAGGATATGGGGATCGGGGTGAGCACCTTGTACAGGTGGAGAGCTAAGGACGCAGACATCAGACAACAGGCAGCAGTCTCCATGCCCGGTGCCAAGTCTGCCATGGGGGCTGAGTTTGCGAAGGTGGGTGCTCAGCTATGTTTGCTGTACAGCAGTACACAGCAGAGTAAAGAAGTAATTACGAGTGTGTTTTGATTTTGTTTTTGAATTTTTCTTGTACAAGCAGGGGTCCTGTACAGCAGTATATTAACAGTTCTTGTGTACATTTTACGCTGTATCATGCCGTGCAGTATTTGCTGTAGGATGAAATGATACACAGCAGGTCTGCAACAGCAGTGCACACACTACAGCTACTAAATCCGTGGATAATACACGTGCTCTGTTTTTCTCCAGGTGGAGCAAGCAGTCATGGAAATGATGGTGCAGGAGAGGGCACTGAGAACGTCTGTCAACCGGGACGCGATCCAGGAATTCGGGCGCAAAGCTCGTCGTGCTCTCGAGAACGCAGCATCTACGGACGCCGAGCGTGTGCAGTACAGCGGCTTCGACGCGTCCGAGCGGTGAACATCGCCTGTGTGCAGCTTCTGCAACTTTTCATCAAGTCTGCCATGCATGCTTGCCTCGTTTTCTCTGACCCACCGTACGCTGACGTATCTAGGCAGGTCGGAGACGTCGAAGAAATAGCAAATAGGTGCAGTATGGCCGGGGTAGCTTACCATCTTCGCAAGGCGAAGTTAGCCTGGATGAGCGAGGCTGGGTCAAAGAAAACGAAGCAAACATGCATGGCAGACTTTATGTAAAGTTGCAGAAGCTGCCCATAGGCGATGTTCATGGACGTCTTTCTTTTTTTTTTTCAGGGTACGGTGTACTACTTGTACTGCTGTAGGTGCTTGAGTCACTGGTCTTGAGTGTGTGTGATGCTCACGTGTCTGTGTTCCGTTGGCAGCTATCCTATGATATGCACTGCTGGTTGTCGAGATGAGGTCGGAGTACACCTTGGAGACCACGTAATAGTTACATCGGTTGTGCTTCGTACACAAGAAGGAGGGATCACGCTTAGTGAGGGCCCCACAACGCACGAAAAATTGTGGAAAACAAAAAAAGACTTTCCATCACTTCCATCGTGTTAGACCCTGTTAAACGACATGTAATCGGTTTAAGAGAGGTCTGGGTGCACACCCCTCTCATAAACCGTAGCCCCCACTGTAATATTGGGTATATCTATTCTTTGAGGGGACTTGCTCGCAAACGTAAAGGTCGAGAGGTGCGTGGGTGCGCATGGCAGAGGCATGTGGTTGAAGGTCGACAATGATCCATCGTTTATGTTTCATCGGGGCTTTCGCTCAGCAGGAAGGCAGCATGATAGGTATCGTCATCGGTTTTTAAACTCCGACAGATACAAGATACATGACTCGTCATCGCGAATAGCACTGTGACAAAAACCTACAAAGGACAACATGTGCATGCTGTGCTTGACTCACACAGCGAGTCATTCATATAGTCAACTTTTGTAGCGTACTGGGTATGGATAAGCATTGCTCCTCCTAGATTTTGTCGGCATTTCGGAGGTGAGCAGGAACACTGGCTTTGCTCCACGTCCCTCAAATAATGCACGATCGAAGTCTACCCAGCGAAAAATGCGAACCAAACATTCGTCTCTCCCAACTTGACTATACCGCCATACATGCATATGCTCAGCTGTTCGATAGAGTAAAAACTCCGTTCAAATCTCCATGGGCGTGGATGCTCGCGGCATTTCCCAATACGATCAACACTATGAAATGAAATAAACGAGTGGAAATGGGTGAGAGTCGGGTAACATGTGGTGGTTTCTCGTGCCCGCGCTCACTGCTGGATACACCCGCATTGACACCAAACATCTCTGCTCTCCCAGGCACATCAGTGACGCACCATGGTTGGCATTCACAACCCTACTTGTCAAGGCCATCGATTCGCGCTACAGCTAGGCATTGCGTTTGCCGGGCTTGCTGAGCAAATCCAACTGCGCTAGTACCTTGGCAGTTGATTGGCAGGATCAAATCACAACACGTCTGCAGAACCGCTGCGGTTTGGATAGCAGCAACGGAACATCGCTGCTTCACAATACACGAAGCAGCCCGGGATCAGAGGGGGAGGCAAGGCTGCATCAATATTCGTCGGCCTGATCATGAATCACACATCTTTTCAGCGTTCAGCAGCATCGTGACGACCGAGATGGTCGAAAAACAAAAAACCGTTGCACTTTTGGCGGTGCATTTTGGTGGTTGGTGCATACATTCAGAGGAGTCACGGCATGTGTTGTATCCTACCGCACTCACCAGTCTCCGAGAAGAAGGTGTTGAAGGCGTCATCACCGCCGCCGATTGTCTTGTCCGAGGGCATCTGCCCATCGGGCTGGATGCCGTGCTCCAGGCAGTAGAGTTCCCAGCAAGCGTTACCTGCGCGCGGTGGGAAAAGTACAAGTTTGGAAAGACGACATTTTAGAGAAGGATGGTGATATCGGTTGGCTCGTCGACCGACGAAGAGAGATGAGCTGCAGACAAGGGCGGGCAGACGAGAGAACCAGAGAGGGATACTGCGGGCGGGCATCAGAGACAGACATTCCGTAGGCCCCGATCCTTCCGGATCATCGGTAGGCGCATGCACACCGCATCGTGTCGGCGTTGGTCGAAACCACACACCTTCTCCCTAATCAAGTCAACTTGCACGGTGGAATTGTGATCAAACCAGTCTCCTCGCGTTTGCTCACCGGTCTGGATGCCGGCCTGGCCGATGTGGATGGAGATGCACTCACGCATGGTTACAGTTGGGTTCGGGTGTTAAAGCGAAGAGGAATGGCGAGGGAGGCTTGCGCTTTGGGTTATCGGGCGAGTCGTCACGCGATGCAACGGCAGGTCCGACAAGTGATCACATCAACCGCACACGTCTACGGAAACGCGGAAACGCCGAGCATAAACAAGGCATCAGCAGAAAAATGGAAGAGGCGTTTCTCACCGGCTAGCTTTTCTCGTGTTTTACCGGCAAGAAACCTGAAACGGCTCGATATTTTTGTGGCAGCCAAATTGTAGGGAGACGACGACGACGATGACGACGAGAAAGGGCTGAACAGAGAAAAGGCAGACTTTTGTTGATCGGTCTTCCTCAACCCCCATGTGTGATAGTAGGCGATAGGTGTAGGGACACACACATGCATTCATGGCCTCATCTTCGGAGTTCGAGACCAGTGGGATGCTGCTGTCCATCTCGTTCAGGCAACGCGTGATACTTGTAGTAGAGCCAGCATGCCAACAAAACTGGACACCGCAGCAAGCAGCAGTAGACTTCAGAAGACATTTACACAACATGAAGACAAATGTACACAGCAGTAGGAGGGTGGAGGCCCGGGAAAGGAATCGATACATCACATGGCTTCATTTGGACCTGACGGCAGAGTACTAAGTTGCATGTCCCTCCCGTTTATTGCCTTCGACGACGTGGACCTGTGTGGACCGATGTGCATTGTATTCCCTCTACACGCGGTCTCCCGGCACCACAGCTGATTTGCAATGTACAAAATTACCCTACGGGCTTGCCTTTGCTACGATGTTGGGAATGAATGAAAACATGCCGCTGCATGTGCAAGAATGTTTCAGAAGGTTTTTGGAGCACGGAAAAAAACACAGGAAAATATTCAAGAGCAAGTCCATTGCCCGCGTCCCAACTGATAGAATAGTCTTCTTCGACGAACCAACCTTCCTCGCCTCGCGTCGCACCCACAAGCATTGACCGTAGAATGCGACAACAGAAAAGGACTCCATTCCCGCGGATCCGTGATCGCGCGATCTTGTGCAGGGTCTCACGGTCTGACGTTAGCTCGATCCCATTTTCAGCTCGTCCCGCGATCGCACGACAGCGAACCGGTCCCATAGGGGCCAGAAGATATAAATTTCGAGGTTTGTCGGGTACAGATAGCGCCCGCACTTAAGAACTTAGCAGTTAAGGAATTGAGACTCGCAAAAAATCATAAGCTAAGAACTTGAGCACCATTTGTTAGCTCGGTTAAGAACCCCACACTAAAACCTATTTAGCGGCCATTTGAAGCCCACAATGGATGGTCAGCAAAACAAGAACCCCAGCCTCGGCGGAAACTAGAGATTCGTAAGTGCGGGCGTCATCTGTAGACTATGTTCTCAAATCCATTATAATGTAGGTCGATCGATGATTCAAACGGCCGATGAGGCGTTCATGACTGCTGTGGGTGTGGGCTAGTCTTAGGCTCTTATCCCCCCTTCCATAACACACAAATCGCAGATATAAGTGTATTCCCAAAACACGTGGACCCAAAAACAAGTGTGGAAATATCATTCCCCGGACAACATTGAACTGGCCATCGCACAATCCTCCCTCCCCGCCGAAAAACAGACGAAATAGCCAAGACACCAATCTAGTACTAAATTGAAAACTCTTTCTCGTTGAAGCGTTACAGCCTTCGGAGAACAAGACGAACGTAACGCGACCACCAAGATGCCGGTACTGCTGTAGAATTAATGTGTGTCGGCACACGCCCGCTCCTCTCGACAGGCACGCCGTACCTAGGCAGGCGATGACACCAGACCAAAAAAAAACGTTTGAACCAACAAAATCGTAACCACGACGCCCCCGGCGATTGATGGTGATGACGCTGCCTGTAGGGTTCCTGCACGTCCGACTCCCTAGAACAATGAAGCACAACGGCGGCCAACCATGAGTCGTTCCTCTCAAATTCGGCAACGCGGATCCGCGACGTTCCCTTCTCTCATGCGCAACCCCCCCCCTCCGTCCTGCTGTTGATGTTCTTGTCTGCCGACGGACGCGAGGCTGCCCATCGGATCCCACGCGGGCAGCATGGTGGGCTCGTCTGTCAGCAGTGGCAGTAGGTCTTTATCCAAAAGACTCTTGTTTACCACCACCTGCCACCACCACCGTTCCAGTTACGAGTCAATGTCCGACAAGGCACCATGCAGCGTGCGGGCGTAATCCGACAACAGCATTGGCGCAGCATAGTTAAAGCGAATGAACAAATGAGGGAGCAACGGTGCACTTCGTTCAGCGCTTGATTTGGCACGCGACTATCGTTTGGTGAGTGATGGGGGTATTTTCACAACAAAAATGTTCACATGCAACTGCTGCGATCCAGAATTTCCAGGAAATATTTATCGGCGAAGAAATTATCATGTGTTTGTGTGGTTGGGTGAGGTATAGGGGGGAGGCGGTAGCGTGGTCACTGCAAATGCCAAGTTCATGCCACTCTCTTCTCGTGCACGTCGAACACGTCGTACATATCCTTTTCTTCTCCTGCAGTCTAACAAGTAGTAGTAGTATGCCGTCCGTTGCGGATAGTATAGCGTAAAAAGGGTTTCGTTGCGGATCATGCATTCCGTTCGTTCGTTCACCTGGAAAAGATACTCGTCGAACCACGCGTTCGTCATGAGGAAGTAGCCCTTGTTGCCCCTCGTGTCACCCCAGCTGAGAACGAACGAACGTCAGTCAACAGGGCAGCAGAGGAAAAGAGACGGGGAGGGAGGGGCACATGTGTGAACAGGGGCGAAACACTTCGGGTAACGATAGACTGCCACTAACAACACATTACACTGAAACAAGATGGACTACAAACTCTGCTGGTGACACCAACGATGGTACCTCTGCTCCCCCTAAAACCGTGGACGAACAACGTCCTGCACTAAGTAAAAGCCCTTCGTGCCATCTCACTATAACCCAGCCTTGGCAAGCACCGCAGTCCAGCACAGACCTCCAACACGGTGTTCAAAGGACGTGCTACATGTATACCTCGTGTGCTTGTGGGACACATTCATCGGGCGGTGAGAAATAGAAAGGGCAGGGTGTGGAACCGTGTTGTAACGCCGACCCTGATGTGTCAATAAAATGCCTATGCAAAATAAACAAGTTCGGGGCGTAAGTGTTTCCTATCTCCCACGCCAATCCAAAATAGGGCGATCGGCTTCCTGCAATTAATCAGTCCGCCGTTCATGCATTGGTCTTGCACATCCCCGCCCTGTCGGTGCATAGCCCCATGTCACCGGCGTGTACTGCAGCTGCATCTTACCTGTTCTCCACCCTCCATTTGTTGGGGATGTTCTCTCCATCCCTCTTGTCGTAGCCGGTGAAGACCATCGCGTGGCTCATCAGGCTCTCCCCACTCCTGAGACGCTCCTCTTTCGTCATGCCTATCGGGGAAAAAAAAAAAAAATACCCGCAAGACAGCAGAGCAGCAGAGCACGAGGAGGGGGCACACAAAACCGGGGTGGGGGGAATCCAACGGTAACGTCAATTGTTTCGAAAAAAACAAAGAAAAATTGTACTTCACACAGGGGGAACCACCTTCCGGGGGGGGTAACTTCTCAAAGACTAGAAAACAGTGAAGAGGTGCGCGAACGACAAAACGTCACAAGTACACAGTTGCAATTCGGCAGGGTAAGGCAAGGCAAGTTGAACAGGCGAGAAACAGCTCGGGGCACTTCGAGCCAGACCACGCCAACAGAGCCGAAACAAAAACAGGAGGCTCCTGTCCCCACTCAATGTCAAGCCGTCAACACTTCCCGTCGACTACGGTGGTATTATCTCGAACATACTAATGTAGTCTTTCAGTAAGTGGATGTAAATAAATACTTAGTATATATTTAAAAAAATCTGCCGAGAGATCGATACACGCCTATTGAGGTTCCGTTCCTTGAGGAGCTTGTCTGTTTCTGTGCTTGTCTGCTTCTCTGCCTGACTGTCTGAATGACCACTTTCGGCCGAAAGTTGCGAACCATGCACTTTATTGTGCGGAGTCCCCGAGGCACCACAAGTCATCCCATCGGCCGTCTTGCACTACGATGCACCCCTTCAAGCAAACATGATTGCTGCCCCCTGCAATAGAGTTTGGCTGTGTCGGTGCTCGGTCGTCTCTACCTCGCAACACGCAGGTTCTCCCGCCGCCAAATTGTTCCCATCTCGATCAACTTGTGCGTAAACGTGCCTGTGCGCCTTATAATCGACGCTCCGTCCAATCTCTAGGCCGAGTTGGCTGTGCGACTACTTATCTAGGCTGCGAACGATAGGTTCGGGGCACACCTCTGCCGCCTGCCCCACGGAAGCTCAATCCGCCACGTTTCGACCACTACATTTCTCTGCTCTTGTTTATGCGCCAGCGCACGAAACCGTTTTCGGCCCCTCTAAGACATATTTCAGCTGTCTGTATGACCGGCTATTCAATTGTTTCTCTCTGTGTACCAACACACGTAGGGTTATCATGTTCTTCGCCTTTGGAACTGGGATGATGATGAGGAGCGGTCGCCCAGGTGGTGTGCGGTGCAGCAGCGTTAGGCCGCCTTTTCTAGCGCAACAGACGGAAGGACAATAACGGGGCATACCTAACCAATGGCTGGATGTGGAACCCGAACATGTGTTTAAATCTGCAGCAGTGAGGAGCACGCGGCGTAACAGACGGCAGGACAATAACGAGGCATACCTAACCTATGGCTGGATGCGGCACCCGAGAATGTGTTTGAATCTGCAGCAGTGAGGAGCACCAGCTGTTGAAAGGAAAACAAAGACCAAATGAGGACGGTGGAAGAAGAGAAAACAAATAACTGGGTTTGTTTTCGTTTTCAATCTTCGCCATTTCTTCTTTTTCACCCTTTCAACATCCAATGAGTGTGTTCAACTTCCATACACGTGTTTCCCACTGTTGGGACTCTTCAAACACTGATTCGGGTTCCGCATTCAGTACAAATTTTCAATTTTTGCCTTGTTACATCACGCTGTCGTCTGTTCTACACTCTGCATTTATCCCTAAGAAAGCCGCATCCTTGCCACATCATCACTGTTGATAATATTATTTGCCTTCTTGCCGTTCCAGCCCGCCTCTCACCCGGCTACACCACAAACGTGGTGGCCGTTCGACCAGCACTGGCCTACGCCATTATGTACATCGTTCCCATTTATGAAACCTTTCATCTGCCCGTGTTCCGCTTTGCTTCGCTGGTAAACACTCATCCCTCATGTTCATGGCAAGCAAGCCTCATCCACCAATCACTATTTTCTGCCGTGCGTAGTGTACAGTAGTTGTAGGGGACCGGAGATAAGAAACAAAGGTCGATTTCGAGTCGAGGCTGAATCTCGTGTTGTATTTCGTTGCTACCGTCGTACTCGAGTATATATACAACATGCAGGTTATTATATGCTTCAAGTAGAGTTTAACCTAGGGTCCTTACATCTGAAAGAGCACAACAGCAGAATGGTCTAATACAGCACCCATTCCGAAGTCGAGCACACCAAAAAACGGATCCACAAGCCCTTCGTCAGTGTGCTCTACTGTCGGTAGCGACACGACTGCGGTCTTGACTTTTTGAGTGCCTGCCAGGCCCTTCAACGCTGCAAGTCACCTGGGCTGACGCCGTAGACAAGGTCGTGGTCGTACATCCCGGTGTCCAGGATGCCGAGCTCAATGTGGTAGCTCTTGAACACGTCCACCCCCATCCAGCAGGGCTGTCCCCCATCAAGCGTTGCCGCCGCGTACCGCTGCGCACGTAGGCAAGAGGGATGGGGGTAAGAGCTCGTTCGTACCCCCCCACACGGGGGTTCCGCAAGTGGCTAAGAAGGGGTGGGACAGCGTTCAGGGTGTCGGGTAGTACGCTTTGGAGAGTACGCAAATCGTTTGTCTGTGCAGTATTGTACGGCTTCCATTCCTGTCGCCAACCAAGCACATCGCACCATGCGCCTGAACCCCACCATGTATGTACCAGTTTCCCGTCGACGCACACCTCACTCACAACAGGCACCCAGCAGGCGTTCGACAAAACGGCCGTTTCAAGCAAAAGCCCGTCGACAGCGAGGGGGAGTGACTGCGGGTCTCAAGGAATCTCGCCACAGGCCGTTCGCGAAATCGATCCCCTTCAAAACGGGACAGGGTCTTACGTGTAATACGAAGACTTATTGGAGCCTGCGCATATAGGTTCTTCGTGACACAGGGCGTGCGACAAGGATGTGTGCTATCCCCACTGCTGTTCAACATCTTCTTCGCCGAGGTCCTCGAGGTCGTTGTCATCCGATTCAGCGAGGATGATGTTGTTCTGCGGAGCCTGGTGTGCTTGGAGGAGGGGAAGACGGAAGCGGGGGGGGGGGAGGAGACACCCCTTGACCGAGTACGGAGGGCAGTATGGGGGATGCTGTATGCCGATGATACCGGCGTCGTGTCGAGATCTGCAGAAGGACGGCGAGCATGATGACCATCATCGTTGAGGTGTTCGGGGAGTTCGAGCTAACGGTGTCGGAGAAGAAGACGGAGACGCAACTGATGCGGGCGAAGGACAAGCCGACTACAGCATCACAGCCCGCCCCGCCTTCACCGCTGACCATCGAAGCCGCGGGACAGAAATACGCCCAGACGACCGAGTTCCGGTACCTCGGTGGCCTCGTCAACGAACATGGCGACCTCACCCGGGAGATCAACTCCACACAGGAGCAGAGGGGCGTGGGCGTGCCTCAGGCGAAATGGCCGGGAGCTCTTCGACAGACCGAAAGCGCCATTCCGACTCAAGATCCGCCTGCTCCAGGCGGAGGCGATGGAGACACTGCTGTACGGCTGCATGACATGGTCACCACTCAGCGGCCACTATCAGACGCTGCGGTCGATACACCACCGACTGCTCCTTCGAGTTATCGGGTACAAGCGCAAGAAAGACACCTACCGGCAGCTCTCTGCTGTACGGCTGCATGACATGGTCACCTTTCAGCGGCCACTATCAAACGCTGCGGTCGATACACCACCGATCGCTCCTTCGAGTTATCGGGTACAAGCGCAAGAAAGACACCTACCGGCAGCTCTCTTACGCCCAGACGCTGAAGAGGGTCGAATGCCAGAGCGTTGAAGCCACGATCCGACAACGACGCCTACTTTTCGCGGGAGCATTGACAAGGCAGCCGGACGGGCGACTCCCGAAACGACTGATGCTCGGTGAACTGGCGGGGGGGCGAAAGCCACGTAGAGGGGGACAGGAACAGAACTGGCCGAAGCGTGTGCTCGACGACCTGAAGGCATTCGGGGCCGACCACGGATCTACGAAAACCGATCCATGTTGTCTCGGAATCCCGGCACCGAAAGACACGGCACCGAAGTTGAAGTGGACGGAATCCGCGAAGGTGGAGGGGGGAGTACCCTGGCATGCGGCTGTGCTGCAGGGAGCTGACAGGTTCATGACCTCCTGGCACGAGAAGGAAGAAGCCAGCCGACAACGGGCGCTCAAACGAAACCACAAGCCAACAACCAATGGGGCGGGAGGGGGGCAGGAGACGGACGAGACGGC